AGTACCAGAAGAGTCCGGAAGCATAGCTATAGTACACGAGCAGAGAGTCCCAAATATGGTAACATACTACATAAGCGACTACAGCTAAGCGCTAGGAGACGCATAGCCTCGTGTAGTCCGGACCGGATAAGTCCAAGTTCAACACTCCTCGTTCTCCTCTTCGCTTCTGCTCTCTCTGCCTGCTTGTCTGCAACGCTCAGTGAGCTCTGTCTTTGCGCTCGGATTGCTTACGCGCTGTGCGCCAGGGTCGTCCAGCGTGAATTCACGCCACTTCTCCACCCTGACATGACAAGCATCAAGGTATAACCTTATAGTGACCTCCGACGCGCAGCCACTGTGAGCATTGGTCCCAGGTGGGCGACATTCCCTTCACGATCTTAGCCCTTCTGACTCTCAGCAAGGCTCATCGATGATGTCGCGGCGACTAGGCGCATAGACTCGGGTCAACGTTCGGCGACGACTCCGTAGGCGAGCGGCAAGGAGCCGAAAGGGAAGAGATAGAGAGGAGGAGAGGGATAAACGCAACAAGAAACTCAACGGGGCAGAGCGGAGGCTGGCACGAAGGCACAAGACCTACGAAGCTAGTCTTCACGCAGATAGCGACAGACTAGTCCCAATGACCAAGTTATACATTAGCAATCAAAGAGAGATACAACACTATGGTCACTCACCTAGTCCCAATGACCAAGAGGTCGAGATGGGGACTAGGGAGTGCCTAGGGGGGTCCTTATATACTAGAGGGGCTGCTAGCAACCAAGGACAAGGCGCGAGAGCGAGGCAGTGAAGATGACAAAGGGAGAACAAAGGGCGAGAAAGAAAAGGCAAGGGCATGGCGATCACAGGAACGTAGCATGCGGCTGTGGGAACGTATCTACAGTGTCCAAACTGGGATGAGCTAGGAAAGGAAACGGTCTGGAAATGGAAGGTGGGCATCAAAGGGAAGGGAATGGGCGGCAAAAAGGGGTGTCTGTCCAACGTCCGTGACATTACCCCCCTCCTAAGGTCCGTCGGTCCCCGATGGACCCGAGGCCGGGGCGCCGTCCAGAGGCCCATTCGAGGTCGGAGGGTGCGGCAGTGGTGAAGTTGACGAGGGGTTGCCAGGGAAGAGATTGAAAGATGGCGGCAGCGATTCGGCGTGGGGCAGTGGGGTTTCGTTCATGAAATTCGTCGATGAGCTCTTGGCAATGAGTGAGGTCCTTTGCCGGCTCCCAGCTGTTCTGGCCTTCGTCGTAGCCTTTCCACTTGACCAGGTATTGGAACTGGTTACGGTACGTGCGGCTGTCTTCAATCTTTTCGACCTCGTACTCGAGTTCCCCTTCGACTTCGACTGGTTCCGGTGGGGGCGGAAGTATGCCGTTGACGTCGTTGCCTGTCCAGGGTGTGAGGGGATCGACGTGGATGACAGCATGTCGGTTCTGCATAGAGGGGGGGAGTTGAAGTCGATACGTGAGTTCACCTGTGCGTTCCAAAACCTCGTACGGCCCAAGTCGTCGGGGTCCGAGCTTGCGGCTGGCCTGATGGATGGTGACGTCCTGTGCATCCATCCAGACACGGTCTCCAGGCTCGAACTCGTGGGGCTTTGGCTTGTCGCGCTCAAACAACTCCTTCATGGCGGCCTTCTCCATCCGAAGGGCTGCCTCTGCATCCTTTCGCACCTCACGCCACAGTTCTAAGCGCTTGTCCAGCGTGGGGAACTTGGTGGGTGCACCGATGGGTACCGTGAAGTTGGGCTGGTAGCCGTAGATGATCTCGAAGGGGGAGACTTGGAGTCCGAAGTGGACGTGGTTGTTGAGCACAAACTCCGCGGTCGGTAGGTGAGCCACCCAGTTGTCCTGTCGTAGGTTAGAGAAGAGCCGTAAGTGCTTCTCAACCTCCTGGTTTGCCCGTTTGGTCTGCCCGTTGGACTGGGGGTGGTAGGCGGTCGTGAGCGCGTGCTGGATCCCAAACTTCTCATACAAGGCCTTCATGAAGCGTGCGGCGAACTGAGGTCCTCGGTCCGACACCACCTTCTCCGGTACTCCGTGGAGGCGGAAGATCTCACGATAGTGGATATCGGCGACTCCTTCTGTGGTGACGTCAGTTGTGGTGGGTAGTACGTGGACCTGTTTGCTGTAGTGGTCGCTGTAGACGATGATCGCGTCATATCCTTGCACGGGGGGAAGTCCAGTGATGAGATCCACTCCCATTGTCTGCCAGGGACCTTCGGGTACGTTGTGGGGCTGGAGCGTGCCTCGAGGATACCGAGGGGCCTTTCGGCGCTGGCAAGTGTCGCAACCTTCGACGTACTTATGCACAAACACGTCTCGCTGTGGCCACCAGTAGAGGCGACTGACCAGCTCTATCGTCCCATTCTGTCCAGGATGTCCTGCAGTGATCGCGTCGTGGCACAAGAAGACGACCCGTTTACGAAGGTCTTTACCAGGGGGAATGTAGAGCTTCCCATGCCGATAGATGAGGTCGTCGCGCACTTCCCACTCCAGGAGTCCGTTTGCCAGCTTCCGGGGGCCCTTCTCCTTGAGGATGCGGAGAGCCTCGACTACTTCAGGATCGAGTACCTGTGCGTCTCAAATCTCCTGCTCCAGGGTGCTCGTGTCCGTGAGTGTGGCCGACAGAGAGACGAACCGCTCAGGTCCCAGCACAATCTGATCTCGGTTGTCCTCTGCGTCCGTAGTCTGGTGGGTCGGGAGGCGAGAGAGGGGATCAGCTTGGGTGTTTGTCTTACCAGGCTTATGCGTGAGACGGAAGTCGAAGCGGCTGAGGTATAGAGACCATTGGGCCTGTCGACGAGTGAGGTTCCGTGCGGTGCGCCAGTACTCCAGATTATGATGATCCATGACAATCTCAAAGGGTTCGGGGAGCCCTTCGAGGTAGACAGCGACCTTTCCTGTGGCGATCAAATCAGCGAAGATTGAGTTCATCAAGGCTTGGAACGTAGCGGGGGAGTTGGTGAGTCCGAACAGCATGACCCGCGGTTCGAATAGGCCTCGATCATGGACTGTAAACGCGGCCTTCCACTCGTCGCCCTCCTTGATGCGGACGTTGTGGTAGCTCCAACGGACGTCAAACTTGGTGAAGTACTTGGCCTGGCACAGGCGACTGATGATGTCCGACGCGAGGGGGAGAGGGTACCGGTTCTTCACCGTGATCTCGTTGAGCTTGCGGTAGTCCTGGACTAGACGAAGCTTGCCATCCTTCTTCTTCACGAAGAAGACCGGGGACGCCATCGGGGACTTGGAGGGGACGATGTAGCCTTTCCGAAGGTTTTCCTCGAGGAACCGATCAACTTCCTCCTGCTCGTTAGGCGACATCGGGTAGGCCTTAGAGCGTAGAGTTTCTGGGGCGTCGGGTTTGAGGTCAATGGCATGGTCGTACGGCTTGTGCTCTGGAAGGCGCTCCGATTCGGTCTCCGAGAAGACCTTTGAGTACTGTTGGTACTCTTCAGGGACGATCTCCTCGAACGTGTGTTTGGGCTTGTCCTGATTGGCCTGCTGTGCGAGCTCCGTGGAGTAGGTGTACCCGGCGGCGCACCACAACTCCTCGGTCGTGTCCTCCAGGACCTTGGCCTTCCACCACTTCCTTCGCTGCACCCGGTTGGCGGCGATCCGCTCAATACCGGGTTTCCATTCCGCCTCGGCCTCTGTTTCCTCCGCACCAACCTCCATGGTGCCCTCCTGCCAGTCAATGTCCGGGTTGACCCTGCGAAGCCAAGGTAAGCCTAATACGACGTCTTCGGGGCCCAGATCTGTAACTAAGAACTCGAGCCATTCCGTGTAGTCGCCCATAAGTACTTGTAATCTAACGTAATGGGATATGCTGCCTGCGCTGTTCTTGGAGCCATCGATGTTGTAGAGGGGAATGTCTCTAGCTAACCTATGTAAATAGACATTGTTCTTCTTTACGAAACGGTGACTGATAAAAAGGGCCGTTGCCCCACTGTCTATCATAGCTGCGGAACGTACACTACGGTTTCTGCCTTTGAGTATCACACTGACGCGGAAATGCGAGCTAGACGGGTTTAATTCGGGGATGATACACGAACTAACACTATCGTACAGGCAGGGGTCAGGGATCTGGGGAGGTGAAGAGTCCGTACTTGTACTGGAGGGCGCCGCTGCGGCAGCTTTCGCACGCGCCCACTCTAAAAAGACTTCTGCAGAGAGGCAAGCTGGTCCGCGAGGGCCTTCTGCTGCTCCATGAGCTGCGCGATGAGGGCGTTGGTTGCTCCGGCGTCCGCAGACGTTGACGTCGACGCTGCGACCTGGGGTTCCTCGGGTCCCTCCTCTGTTGCAGCGAGCTTCTGCGAGCGGGGCTTCTTCAGGAACTTGTCCATGCACACCGTCTCGCGGTGCCCCACGCGACGACAGTAGCCACAGATGTCCCAATTGTGGCCGCCGTCCTTCTTGACGTGCGCCATAGACCCGCAACCGTAGCACTTGCCGCGCATGAGGCGGTTGAACTCTTCGCGCGTACGGGTCGCGTCAATGTCCATCGCATTTGGGTCCCTGGTAGGCGGCATGAAGGGGGTGGTGTGCAGTGGAACTGCCGGCTTGGTCGCTGTGGTGGTGGCGGTACGTCCGCGCTGACGATCCCGTTCGGCACGGCGTTGGCAGACACGGACGTCGATGTCAGAGGAGACGGTGATGAGGTCTTCTAGAGAAGCGATGGGCCTCGCCGTGTGTACCAACTCGTCCTTGATGGAGTCCGCCAGGTGTTTGTAGAAGCGGTCTCAGAGGTCGGCCTTGGAGTAGCCTGTGCGGGTGGAGAGCTCGTTGAACCGTGCGGCGTACTCTGGGACAGTCATGGAGCCTTGCCACAATGTGCGGAGGTGTTCCTTCGCATCGACCACCTCGTCGACTGTCTCGAAACGGGCCTTGAACTGGGTGCGGAACTCCGTCCATGAGCCTTTGAACGGAGTGGTGCCCTGCGTGATCTCCTCCATCGCCGGGGTGGCCCAGAGAGCTGCACTGTCCTGCATAAAGGAGAGGACCGCTTGAATCCATTGGTCATCGCGCGCACTGATCGCGTTGCCCATAGCATCGACGTGATTGAGCGTCAAACCTTGGGACATGGCCCAGAGGGTGAACGCTGCCAGGAAACGCCGTGCCTCACCCCCTTGTTCGCCTTTGAAGGGGGAGGGCTTCTGGACCGCTTTCAGACTATTGGCCCCGGTGGTCGAGGCAGCGAGCTGGGCCATAGACTGGGTGAGGAGGGTCATCGACTGGACGAGCATTGCCATGGGGTCCGGGGGTTGGGTTGCCGTCTGGGTGCCCGGTTGGGCCTGTTGGGGGTTGTTGGCAGGGCCTGTCACCTGCGGTTGTCCGCCTTGTTGTCCCATGATGGGTGGAGCGGATGGTGGTCGAGTTGGGGGAGGAGTAGGGGATGGTGGAAGCGCGATGAGTAGCGCTACTTCGAGCTCGTCGGTCGGGGTACCGGGGATGGGGGATCGAGTCGTAGGTGACTCAGCAACGGGGGAGTCCGGGACTGGGATGAACTCGTTCGCAAAGGTGTTCCAGTTGATCCGAGTAGGACGGTGATGACGGTTCGGGCAGGGGTTTTGCTCACACGGTTCCCAGTACCAGAGTCCGTCGTCTAGGTCCTTTCGTCGGTGGCAGTACTCTTGGTTGTCGGTGTCCCACGCGTGAAGTCTGCCGGTGCAGTCCAGGGTGGGGGAGACAATGTAGCGGCGGCGGGGACACTCTTGTTCAGAGCGTCAGCACCGGGGGAGAGATCTCGACCTAATGTCATGGCGACTAGGCGCGTAGACTCGGGTCGACGTTTGGCGACGACCCCGTAGGCGAGCGGCAAGGAGCCGAAAGGGAAGAGATAGAGAGGAGGAGAGGGATAAACGCAACAAGAAACTCGACGGGGCAGAGCAGAGGCCGGCACGAAGGCACAAGACCTACGAAGCTAGTCTTCACGCAGAGAGCGACAGACTAGTCCCAATGACCAAGTTATACATTAGCAATCGGAGGGAGATACAACGCTATGGTCACTCACCTAGTCCCAATGACCAAGAGGTCGAGATGGGGACTAGGGAGTGCCTAAGGGGGTCCTTATATACTAGAAGGGCTGCTTAGCACCAAAGACAAGGCGCGAGAGCGAGGCAGTGAAGATGACAAAGAGAGAACAAAGGGCGAGAGAAAAGGTAAAGGCATGGCGATCACGGGAACGTAGCATGCGGCTGTGGGAACGTATCTGCAGTGTCCAAACTGGGATGGGCTAAGAAAGGAAATGGTCCGAAAATGGAAGGTGGGCGTCAAGGGGAGGGGAATGGGCGGCAAAAAGGGGCGTCTGTCCAACGTCCGTGACATTACCCCCTCCTAAGGTCCGTCGGTCCCCGATGGACCCCAGG